TATATATATATATACAGTATGTGTATATATATATATATGTGTGTGTGTGTGTGTGTGTGTGTGTGTGTATATAATTTCCTGGCGCGTTATTTTGCAGACAAACATTTCATCTGGTTTGTTCATCATGTTGCAACTGTAAATCTAGAGTTCCTCCTTGACTTTCTTATATTAATGTGTATTCTTGTCATCAGCACTTGTCTTGTGCTCTTGTTATGCTTCATCTGAAATCTCTACAAGCGCATCTTTATTGACCCTCGGGCTCTTTGTGAGATCCTGCTATGCCCTCCTAAAGCCCCAAAATGTTGCATAATCCATGTCTTGTCCACCTGCAGACAAGGTGCTGCCCTCAGTGCTGCAGAAAGCAGAGGTTTCCGTACTGAGCCAAACTGAGTGCAAGAAGAGCTACGGCCCTGTCTCGCCACGCATGCTTTGTGCCGGACTCCCATCTGGAGAGCGAGATGCTTGTAGGGTGAGCTCCTCTCTGATTCAGTCACCTGTATTTTCATTAATAAAGTGTGAGAAGCAGTAAAGGGTGATGCACACTGTGTTGTGTTCTCTCTAAATCATCTGCGTTCTTTTGGTTTAGGGGGATTCGGGGGGTCCTCTGTCCTGCCAGGCACCAGGCGGGGGACGCTGGTTCCTGATTGGCATCGTCAGCTGGGGGGCAGGCTGTGGCAGACCAAACCTGCCTGGGGTCTACACCAGGGTCAGCAAGTTCACCTCGTGGATCTACAGCTATATCAACTGACATGATATTTTTATTCATTCATTACCAGCAGATGTTTAAATATTCTGCTCACACCAAATAATACATGCATCAGACACTGTGCTGTGTGTGTTTATGTTAACCACTCTATCTGCCTTTTGGTGATATTACATGGTGCTATTGATGAGTGACACAAAAAGATACACCCAATAAAACAAAAATGTGAAGATGAAAGCCTGCACAATGTTTATCTTCTACTATTGGGCTATTTCTGTTACGCTCCCTTTTCACAGACTGAGATTGTATGATCAAGTCCTGTTACAGTCCAACAGTGGACAAGTTTGATGCCAGATTTTTAATTGCAGTTTCTATCTAGGGCACCGAAGCCAAGCATCAACTGTAATACCTCGCACACGTTTCCCTCAAACTATCTTTTGTCCCTCCAAGCTTAACTCCTGGATACACAGCGGGGAAGTTTGCCCACACTAGCTGTTGCACGGATGGTTGTGCAGATTGTACTCTTTCATAGTGGTTCCATTGTTTCCGCAGTGCATTGTGGGGCTCCGTGTGACACCTGTCGCCCAGTTCAGGTAAACGGGAGGCGTTGAATGACGCCGCATCCGAGCCGCTCAGGTCGGATTTCTGCGTTTTCACAGCGACAGCGGGGGTTTCCTCTCTCTCTCCATCATTTCTATGCCTGAGCTATTGTTGCATATCGTCTCTCTGGAGCTAAACGGGACAGTGCTATGAGGACTTTCCCCATAAGCAAAACTTGCGAAGTGTACTGCGTCTCTGGGCATGGGCACTCAGGCTGCGCCGCTGCACAGGTAAGCCATCACTTTGCCCTTTTCACTGTGCTTAAAAGGTGGTGCCAAAAAAGGCTTTGCTTTGTCCTTGAACTTTTATCTCATTGTCCTGGTTACATTGGAAAATTGCTATGTTTAACATTTTGATGATTTATACAACATGAGGCATACTTGGCAATCTCTGTATATAAAACCTGGTCATCGTTCCTCTTAATAGTAAAATCAATCTTCAAGGATTTTGGTTTCTGATTCTCGTCTATGTCCGGGCCACTTGATTGAGGACCGACACCACAGAGCCAGGCCGTGGGAAAGCAGACCCTCCAGCCACGCTTTGTCTGCTCCCTGGTGGCATCCTGCCAAATCCTTAAATTTTTTAGGAGATCCTTCCAGCTTAAAGATGTTCATCATTCCTCTCAGTAAATCGGTGTCTGCTCTGCCATAAAATATGTCTCATTGATTTTGGCATATACACTGTAGACTGCATTTACTTTACAATTTCTCTCCTGTGGTCACATAAAAATAACTTGAGCACACACATTAAAAAAAAAAGCTGGTGTGATATTTGAGTCATGTTCTTATCCCTGGAAGGGAGAGGGGGAGTTAAAGGAGCCCACCCAAACACTGAGCCCCCCCACAAAGCCTGTGGATCAGGCAGATCAGGGGGTGGGTGTGGGTCATGCTCCAACCCGTGGCTCTTGGAACAGGTGGATGTTAGGTCTCCTGCCTTTCTTTCCGTTCACTGTTGCCATTGCACTGACTCTCCACTACTTGGAATGTGAGTACAGACCTCCTTTATTGTTTAAGATTGCCCTTAAATCTCTCCTGTCCTTTAAAATGTGTTTAGTTTGACTTGGACCCACAGTCACACGGCACACCTGTCTCGAATCTTTACCTCCTCCCCAGCTCCACCCTCCTCAGTGATCTTCCTTGGAGGCAGTGTGGAGTTCCCAAACCTGACCTTCTCCTCCGAGCTGACTGACTCCAGCTCCCTGCAGTTCCACCTGCAGGCTCAGGCTTTGAACCATTATGTAAGTGGAATGGCAAACTGTCAGTGCTGCTTTACCTTCCCACTCTGGGTGATAGCTGATATTGCTACTCAAACTATGATATGGTTCACTACAGTGGGCTACTAACTTGTGTATCTCCTGTTTTCTGTATCTGCATTTGATAATTTTTTTTTTCTTTATCTGCTTTGTTCTCTGTCTCATTTTTTTCTGCAAACAACTTTCCACTCTTCTATCTCTCTCTGGTGTTAAATGTAAAGCTGAAACAGGAGCTGGGCACTGTGTGTGCGCAAGTTCCTGAGACCCCCAGGGACAGGGCCCTTTCAGGGCTCCGGACAAGCTCAGCATTTGTGAGCCCAGATAGACTCCGGCAGCAAGAGTGAGAGGAAGAGCAGGCCTTCAATAAAAACATTGTCTGTGCAGCTTTCAAACAATCAGCCGCTCTGTGCGCCAAACACTAGGAGAACCTCAGTTTGATGCTGGGGCTGGGAGGGAGCGACAGGGCAGTAGGACAGGTTGAGTTGACAGAAGGATTGGCAGCTGGTCCAAGATACGAGAGGAGGAATTTGGATTTATGGAGCAAAAGGTCAGACGTGCTACTGTACACTGTTACAAGGCACAGTGGGGAAATATTGAACTGGTAGGTCCAGTAAACCTCAGTGGTGTCCTTTAGTGTCCATGTAGGCTAATCAGCTGTGAGGGTGCATTAGTAGGGTTGTTATGTGGGCATAGTATCCTTGCTGGCCGTCTATTCATTAAATAACATGTGAACTCAAGGCCAGGACCCCACACTGCATAGGGTCCTGCCAGTACACAACTGTCAGGTAAAGCCACAATGGAGCTCTGTGCTGCTCAAAGTCAACATACACACATGCAAGGTCTGATAATGAAGATTGCTTTGTTGTTTTGGACAGTGCTTTTGTTGACCAGGTGTTGCTTACACAAGAATAGTGGCCTTACTTGCATCCCTGTGATGTCAGTACTGTAGTGCATTCAGTATATGGTCAACCTTCTTCTGTTTTTGTAAACAGTTTTCAGAACTCTACGAGTCATATCCGTGGAGCTCCTACTACCTGTGCTCAGGAATTACTGCCTTCAGGTATGGTGCACTAGCACAAATCCCACTGATAAAAAAATGAAAGTGCAACAGTTTATAGATGAAAAGAATATGCATGACAACATACTCAGCCACATGTCCCCTGCAGAATAGCGACACTGTAAACCCTTTGTCTGATAGTGAAGGAGTCAAAGGGCTCAATGTCTTCTACTGGAGTAAATTCGTTGCCCCAGACAGTGTTGCCATGGCGATCCAGAGGGCCAGCCCAGAGAGGCTGCAGCGCAGGCTTCCTGACAGCAACAAAGTGCAGCGAGACAGCTGCAACGAGCAGCGCTACTACATGGAGCAAGATGACAACATGCTCCACCTGCTGGGTAGAGCCTCTTACAGTTCTCTGCATACATACAGTACAGGCACAACAACCACACACTTGTGTACACATAGTTTCTTCTGTCTAAAACCTCTGTAACTGAAGCAAATGCCACTTTAATAATAACAATTAAAAACTACTAATAGGTTACTGTATCTGTTAAAATAAAAACTCAACTACTGTATTTTCCCATACTTTTTAATGTGGTTAAAAGATCTATTATAGTGTAGTTTTATAGACATGTGCAGCGCTGGACAGGGACTGATTTTAACAAAAGTATTTTGATATGTTTTACATGATATGTAGGCTTGGACCCTGATGACTTTGAATCAGAAGAAAGACCAGACAAGATTAAGAATCTGAATAGCATCCAGACTGGAAAATGGCAACTCGGTTTCCAAGGTCACGCTACTCATCCTTATTGAATTTCTTTGAATTCACGATTGGAGCAGACAGCTAGTACTGTTGACTAAAGTCTGTATATGTTTTTGTTTGTGTTATCTGTGTCCTAATGGGATTAAAGCAGACAGTATAACACATGTAAATATTGCCACCGCTTTTTCTGTGCAGCAATGTCCTTTGACCTCTATGCCAAATATGGTAACAACCGCACCCTGAGCCTCGTTAGCCCCAAGAAGCCATACTACCAGTGGCGCCTACGTGTACCATCGGGTCACGTGGTTCGACTGGTCATCCTCACCCTGCATGGCGCCACCCCAGGAAGTTGCACTTCCCACAAGCTCTCAGCTTATGATTTCCTGCTTCCTTTACAAAACAAAATAATTGCCAGGTAAAGACATCTTATTACTTTTTTTTTCGTCTGGTGTTATTTTAAAACATCTACACTATCCTCATATTGTATATAGTGGTAACTGACCTTTGGAGGTCAGCAGTAAACAGAGTGCCTATAGTTACAGGGCTGTATCAGTGCAAAAGCAGAACATCTGGTGATCTAACTTATAAAAATGTCCATTTGATTTATATTTTTATATGTGGCTATCCTTGATGAATGTGCCTACCTGTTGCAGGTGGTGTGGGCTGCCTCTCTCAGGCTCATCTCCAGTCATGAAGCTGACATCCTCTGGGAATGTGATGTTGGTCACCTTCTCCTTCAGCAGGCAGAGGGATGGAGCAATCTTCAAAGCATACTTCCAGGCCATCCCAAAAGCAGGTTGCAATGCTCTCATAGATAGACAAAACCATATACCATACTCGGTGCTGGAAAGGTTGCTTTTGAATTGTAATAGGTTACAGATTACTGATTACCCTACTAAAAATGTAATATATAATGTAACAATTTAAATTATTGTATTAAAGTAATGTAACTTATTACAAGTGATTACTTTTGAATCAAATGTTTTAAACTAGGCAATAAATATGAAAATCATGAAAAAAAAGTAGTCTACTGGATGGGCACTGAGCAAAGTGTAGAGATAAATTACATCTTATGCACATATACAACATGGTGGGGTGTGAGGGTCCTTATTTCATGTGAGTGATAGCGATTACGTTAACTTATTTAGATGTTTCCTCAGACTGTTTCCACTAAAATAATGCCAGAGCCCTTCTCTGATTTCAGAAGGAAAATGTTGAATTTCCAGTGCTGCTGCATTCTTGTTCAGTGACATGGCTGCCAACCTCGGTGTTGTCAGCTCGCTGATGACAGGCATGGCAGACTCATGTTGCTTAGAGCAATGCGCATTAGTTTCACTGGCAATTGAAAGGTGGTGCAAAGCTTTAACAAAAGAGAACAAATCGAGAACAAACTTCAAAACTTGAGAGCATACTGCCAAATGAATGGAGCATATTGTAGTTTTGATGGTATTGTAGTTTCACTCAAATTTGTCCCAGTGTCTGAAAAGATGCAAAGCAACAGAGTGAATGTTATATTCTAAGCTTTTTACCAGAAAGCCTCTACTCAGATGTAACCCCTTTGTAATCACTAACATTTTGATTAGCAACTGTAATTTATTTGTATGTTTTTCTCAGTAACTGTTTACAATTATATTTATTTTGTAATTTATTTACTGTAACTAGTTACTCCCCAACACTGACCATACTGTCTGACTCCCACTGATTTTGTGTGATATGCAGTATTGGGCAAGCTACTTAGAAAACGATTACTTCATACTGGAAGAAGATGAACTACAGCAAAGCTACCCTAGGCAGAAATGGTTAACTAAAGCTACTTATGAAATTAGTTCAAACTGACAATATACAATAAGTATGATACAAGTTTATAACAAAATATAATGCCAAAAAGTCAAATACTACTCAGTTGACATATTCCTTTTTACACAGTATTAACAGTCTGAACACTGGCCTAAAAGATCGGCCTATCTTTTTACTTGTCAAAGCAAAATCTTTTGCTTATATGACACATGAGCAGTCTCTCAAGGTTCTTATCCAACAGATACGCTTGGCACTGAAAATTGTATAAAAATGAATTTAACTGCTCGAATCACTATACAGATAAGAATGTTGTTGAATTACAAGCAAGCTACAGCGAAATGCAGTTTTTCTCAGTCACCTTAATTTATTTCTCCAATCAGAAATAAAATTCTCTAAACTACTTGTCCAACCTCCGCGTCATCCAGTCATGTGTGCACATCATATAAGCAGTTTTCATTGTTTTAAACAAATTGCAAATACTTTGGTATTCATACAAATGGTTATGTACAATTGTCTGTTTCCTAGATTATCAGTTGCTTATATCATGTCGATCAAAATGTATTATAATGGTTCTCGGTTGAATAGTCTGACCTCCCAAAACAACTTGTCGATAGTTCTTTTGCAGATGTCATTATATGCAAATGTGTCCTGAATTGTTGAATAGCTCTCAGGTGAATCTCAGCTTTCACTACCAAAAGGGAAAGTGTGAAGTGTTGGATTATCCAACAATAAACAAGCTCTTTACTGTAAAATAGCTCAGAGGTGTATGCCATGAACCTTCATTTGGCAATCATATATAGACAGAACCTAACACTGTTGCAGTTTGGTAATAGAAAAACAAGGACATAAACAGTGTCAACTGCCAGGAAGAAGAAGAGGACTTGTGCTGTGTGGTGGAAGGATAGGGAGGCAAAACAGAGGAAGTGGGCGAAGAGACCAAGGACATAAACATGTTCCAGATTAAATTAGGGCCACACTTGTGGATCATATTGTCAAGCTGTGGCCTTATAATGGTTGAGGCTGGTCAAAGGCAGCTGAATCTTGGGGTATGTCCTGTGTTTACATTTTTAATGTTGCATTTTTACCTGTGTGCTATGCAGTGCTGTAAAACACATACTTCTGTGTACTGCAATGACAGTAAAAACAGTAAAAGTGTAAATGTGAATCCTTTCCCATCTTTTCCACTCAAACTCCCATATACAGAAATGTGAAACTGTTGAAACTGATACATGCCATACAGAACAAGTGCAGTCATGTATTTTCAATCACTGTCATTAAAACCTGAGCCATACTTTACGTATGCAAATCCTGTTATATTGACATGACTAAACATTCTGACTGCCATTCTCGTAAGCGATGACACAAGGATTTGTCATTCTCATGGCACTGACATGTTCATGGATATAAGTATTTACTTTTGAAAGATAAACTAAGGGTTTTGAGCAAGTGACACACTTTTGTAGGTAATCTATTGTGTGGTACTGTTTGTATGAACTGTTTCAAGAAATGTTCTTGCAAATATCAAGGATGATTCAAGAAATGCACCACAGTGACTGAGGAAAAACTGTAAACTACTGGTTTAATTGCTGTATGTAGTTCACTACTCCCCATCACTGGTGATATGTTTTTGTTATGGCCTTCGTGCTGGAATGAATTGTTTCCAGTGATTAGCATAAGTATGGTGTTGTAGTATAATCTGTGCCCTTGTCTGCTTCACTCCACCTGCAGGTTGTGGAGGATCAATTTCCTCCTGGAATGGCTCGATTTCCTCACCCTACTACCCCTCCTATTACCCTCCTAATATAGACTGCACCTGGACCCTACAGGTGAGCCACATAAGTGTATTTACTTTATGTACATGTGCTTGTGAGTATGTGTTTGTGTGGGTGTGTTAGAAACAGTGGAACCAGAAAGGGAAAGTGCTTAGCAAACAATGAAACAGTGAATCATCCTATTGTAATTTAGCTGGTCCACATTCCAGCATGTGAACTTTTCCTGTAGTTGACTTTTTTTTTTTTTTTTTTTTTTTTTTTTTTTTTTTTTTTTTTTTTTTTTTTTTGGTTAGGCACCATTGCCAGGGTACCTGATTTCCATGACTATAGTGACAATGGACATTCAAGATTTCCCATCATCAGACAGCTGTGAGAAAGACTGGCTAGACATTGGAGGGGTCAAGTAAGTCATAAAATGGAACTGTGTTGTGTCCAAAGTGCCCAAAATCAGTGGCTACAGCCAAACTTCAGATTTGTTTTTACATTCATTCACTGACTGTAAGTGCCGGTGTGTTTTTAGCTTAACTGTTTAAGACATTCCATGTTTTTGTGCCTGCATGAGAATAAAAAGTTCCTTACTTACTGCTCATCTGTGTTTAGACTGTGTAACCCAGTGTCAGACAGCAGCAAAAAGCGAGTCTATTCCTCTCCTCTCTCTCTCCACTTCCACTCCGATGAATCTCACACTCACAAGGGCTTCTACTTACTCTATCGAGCCTTTTCCCCTGAGGGCAGTAAGTAAAATCAGATGCCGTCACTCAACCATAGCAATTTCGCAATGAAAGTATAAGGATTGTCTTATTTGTCAACTTTTTCCGATTGTAATCTTTCACAGCTGAGAGGCTAATCATTTTTTTGTCTAATGCCAAAGTTAATTATTATCTTTTGGCTCTTTAAACCCAAAATGTGAAGGAAAAGAGCTGTAATTTCTGAGTAGGTTCCCTTATTGCCTATCTCTAGCTTGTCCTCGCCAGTTTCGCTGTGGAGATGGACACTGTATCCCTCTCAGGAAGGTGTGTGATGGAGTTAAGGATTGCTCAGATGGACGGGACGAGACTAAATGCTGTAGGTCTTGTCCCTTAAAAGCCTCTCCCACCCAGTCTTGTATTCTGAAGATGTACTCTGTGGTTTGTTTTGTTGTTTGGCTGACATGATGTTGAAAAGTTGTGCTTTGTGTATTTGTCCATCTCTATTACTTGTAAAAGTGCCAAAGTCGACAATTTGGTTTTAAACTTCTGCTAGACTCAAATTTGTGTGTTTCATGTCCCTATCTATATGTGTGTAAAACACATAGCATCCTGCAGGCCAGGGGAAGTGCTGTGTGGCAACGGTCAGTGCAAACCTCAAAGCAGCCAGTGTGTGAGCCAGAGCACCTGTACAGACAGCAGTGAAGAGGGCACCTGTGGTGAGTGAGCGTGCCGTCACTGTACTGACACATGCGAGTACTTGTGGGTGTTTCAATCCTTTTGTTTTGTGCTGCATTCCATTTGGTTTTCAGGAGGTAAATGCTACCATGTGTGTCCCAACAAGGTGTGTTTGCCAAAGTCTTCTGTGTGTGATGGTGTCATTGACTGTAAAGACCGCAGTGATGAACTCAACTGTACCAGAGCATGTGAGCAGTCATCAGCCTTAGTGGTTTCATAACTGACTGTGTGTGATACTGTGCTGCATTTATGCTTTTTATATCTATATTTTAAAATATCTAATTCTTTTTTGCTAAGTATGTATTTCATTTTCTCTAGACCTTAAAAGCTGCTCCTTGTCTTCCTACAAATGTGCCAATGGAAAGTGCATTAGTAAAGTCAATCCTGAGTGTGATGGAGTAAAAGACTGTTTTGACGGCTCAGATGAACTGCGCTGTGGTAGGTACTCACTCACCAGACTTGATTTCAGAATGCTGTATCTGTGAAATGAAATTCTGCTGACTGTTTTTAACTCTTCATCCATCTGTCCCTCTGAGGCTGTGGAATCAGGCCCAGGAAGCGTACTAAGATAGTGGGTGGCTCTGATGCTGGAACTGGATCATGGCCATGGCAGGTCAGCCTCCAGATGGATAACTATGGCCATGTCTGTGGAGCCACGCTCATCTCCAGCCGCTGGCTCATCTCTGCAGCTCACTGCTTTCAGGACTCAGATGCCATTAAGTAAGAAAGATGCTTGATAACCTCCTCATAATCATAACTGATGTGTATGCACTTCATGAATAATGTGACTGCAGATACTCAGATTCTCGTGCATGGCGGGCCTTCATGGGAATGCGTGTGATGACCACGGGTAACAACGGCGCAGCCACGAGACCAATTAGACGGATCCTTCTCCACCCACAGTATGACCAGTTCACCTCTGACTATGACATCGCCCTTCTCGAGCTCGGCACTCCCGTCTTCTTCAATGATTTGATGCAACCTGTGTGCATCCCTGCCTCCTCACACACCTTCACCACAGGGACCAGCTGCTATGTCACAGGTTGGGGAGTCCTCATGGAGGACGGTAAGAGCTGGTCAAAAGTATCTAAAGAGAACCAAAGAGGTAGATCACAAAAAACATGCTTTTAGTTTAAATGTCTTGTGCTTGCATTAAGGTCAGCTGGCCTCTCGCTTACAAGAGGCCTCAGTGAAGATCATCAACAGGAACACCTGTAACAAGCTGTATGATGACGCAGTTACTCCCAGGATGCTGTGTGCTGGGAATCTGCAGGGAGGGGTAGACGCCTGCCAGGTGTGTGTGCTCTCAAAATACTGAATACCGTTAACACTCGTTCCCAGAGTTGTTGTGACAAGAAGTGTTGAAATTTATCTTTAGTCATAACCACAAAATGCTTAACATGGCTCACTGAAATAAATTTCAATGTAGTTTATCTACATTTCCCAGAACTGTGGGACATCAAACATTTTTATCTAAACCACAATACATGTCTGCATTAAGACTAATTTTAGTGTTTGTTTCCTGTTGCTTATCTATGCATGTGAATGTACAGCTATGCAGTGAGCTAAAGACATTTCCAATAAAGGTTGAGGACAGTTGTTGGCCACAGTTCAATATTGTACAAGGGTTTTCAAGTATATAATGGGGAAAACTTGAAAGGAGGGAGGTGGTTCGAGCAGGTGAAGGGGTGAAACAGAGTTCAACTAGTGGGTGACGCTGTGCTTTTTATTTAGTTACTTTTTAAGCCCAGCCCATTGTCCTTTTCCTAAAGCTAACTAGGTAGCTTTTGTGCCTAAATATAACCATGCAGTTTTGTGCCTAATCATGTAGCTGCTGTGCCTAAACATAACTTGTTTTTTGTACTGACACAAGTGGATTAATGCTGTTGTGTAGTGTAAACCCTGAGAATCTGATACAGATTGCAAAGACACCCTATGGCATCAGTATGAGACACAAAGTACTTGACAAAACATCAGTATTTTACGCCCAGTGGATTATCCTTTAGAGGAAAGGATTAGTGGCTACTTGAGGAGAGGGCGGTAAATCCCCAAGCGTGCTTCCTCCTTCGACTTCTATTACTTAGCTAGCTACCAACATTCTTCTCATGCCTAAACAAAGTATGAAAGATCAGCATTAGGTCCTCAAAAGAAGTACAATGACAAAATTAATCTTGTTAGCACACATAAAGAGATAATAAGAGTAAAGGGTAAAAGAGTAAAGAGTAAAACTCAAACTGCAGCAGTTAGCTCAACAGCAGCTAAATTGGCTAACAGCTGCTTAAAATGTTTCAGCATCAATGGTTAATTTGCAGTTTGCTAACTAACACAGTACAGTCATCGAACAGCTGCAGGTATATTAAAAAGATCGCTACAGATGCAGGGCATTCAGAGCTAGATCTGTCAGTTTTGCTGGTCACAGATCTAACAATATGATGAACATGTCAGTTGAAATGCAGCTGCCATTAGCAGAAGAACAGAATATTGAACTGAAAATAAGGCTGTCTAAAATCACTTCTTAAGGCACTATGTTTACTGTCCTCCATTTCAAATGGCTAATGATGAATGTGCTAATAAGTCCACTATATAGGGTGCACAGCAGTTTCCCAATGCAATGTTTCTACTAACAATCCCACAATGCAATGCCACACATTTTAAAGATGAGAAAATTACTGTTTCAAAATAACTGAAATTGAAAAACTGACCTAGAAGGTGCATTCTCTTTTTATATCCCTCCTCTATATGGGTTCATGTTTTGTTTGTTGTTGTTTTTTGGCCAGAATGTTAGTGTCTATGTTTATGCTTCAGGGTGACTCAGGAGGTCCACTGGTGTGTCTGGAGCATGGCAGGCGATGGTTCCTGGCGGGGATCGTGAGCTGGGGTGAAGGTTGCGCACGCCAGAATCGTCCCGGCGTTTACACACAGGTGGTCAAGTTCACTGACTGGATCCGTCAACAGACTAAAGGACAGGTGTGACTGAACACCAGACTAACATGACAGACTTAACACACAGTATGAAGGTTACAGACCTGGAGTCTATCTTCACACTGTTGTCAGTACTGCAAGACAGCCATTCAGTCACAGTCACTATGGCAGCGGGCTAGTGGCGGCATTATCCCGGGTCCAAACCAAACAACTTCTTTCCTGTTTCCACTAGAAAACATCGACAGTGGCCATTCACACAAAAAAATAAGCACTTGACCTGTACATTAAATGAACTTGCCTTTGGTTCACCACACATAAATGTTTGAACTTGGGTGGAATACCTTTCTCAATATACCCAAATATGATGCAAGACTTGCTGCAAAATTACCCTGGGTTCTGTAATGTAAGAGACTTTACTCTTAGATTTTGGTTTTTTGCTGCCTGCACATATGTAGACTGATCAGAGTGTTAGCATACAGTGGTACCATCACAAATACTGGTAAGTGCTACTTGCCTTTTGGTAAATATTAGGATCTAAATGTTCCTCTACTTTATTAGATGAAAAATACCTAGCACTCAATATTTTTTGTTTTAAGAAGATGAAATTCATCACAGAAACATTAAGAACACTGAGGCGAAAATCAGGTTATTGTAAATGCCACTTGCTGCACAAATCTGTGATTCCTATGCTTAACAGCATTTTATTTCCATTTTCTCCAAATTTCTGCTCACAACTTTCTCTCATGTAAAGCTCATTCTACGCCGCACTTTCCACAAGAGTACCTCCGTCTGCTTGAAGCAAAAAGCACAATGTTCTGGATAAATTGTTCTGCTTGCAGAGAATCCTCAAAAACAGGGATTTACTGTTGCTTTGTCAACACCTGTTGTACTTTACATCAAAGACCAATCAAAAGCCGATGAACAGGTCAGTGGCCTCTTTATTCTGCAGACATCAAACTTCAGAACAAATCTGATGCTGTCCAAAGTACAAACACAAACCAGGTTGTGCTGTGTATGTAAATGTGTTCCTAATATTTCTGCCCTGCTCTTGTGCCTGTCACAGCTACATTATCCACTGTGGACTTGGTGACCAAAAGCTCCCATAGATATGTGACTGTGTAATTTTGCCCTCATCTACATTTGTCCATGTACTGTATGTTGTTTTTGTACTGTATGTTGTGAATGTGCCTTTTTATATCATGTTTATCTGAGTCATAGCCTTATGCTGATAGGAGGTGGTGATATACTTTGCATTTCATATTTAGTGTGATGTTTTAATTTATCTTTATTGTGCCGCCTTTCTTCTACTTGCTCCGTGGAAAGACTGAACACAGCTCTGTTAAAACCATGATGCAGTTGATGCTGGTTTAAGGGACAAATATAGTTATCAAGGAAAATCCCTACCAACCATTGTTTTTATGCAAATACTCTTTTCTTTTTCCATTCTCCCCCTCTCTACCTTTTCATTCAGCTCACATCACCATCCAGTGGCCAGTCTGTACCACTGCCTCTTTTGCTATCTTTCCTAATACTCATATGATTTTAATAACATTAAGTTTGCACCACTGGTCAAGGATATCAGATTTTATGCCTTTATATTAAAGACACCATTTCAATGAAGCAGGTCATGCATGTGTTTCTCAGCAAAACTGTTTTATTAATTGCTGTTTGACATTTGCCAGTATCTATTGCATCAGTTATAAACTGTGCTTTTGACTGAAAAGAGTACGAGTCACCTGTACAGTACAGTATTTTGGTATCTGTCAGCACTTTTATATTGCACCATTTGGGGATGTAGCATAGGAAAGTTTGATCAAGGGGTCGCCCATAAATAGATAGTGGCGAGACCAGTATGTTCTACTTGGAAAAGCAATTGTTTATTTAGTCTTTGAGGAACTACTGCCGGTTTCAAGTATGAGAGGCATGACGGCCAAGTTGTTGACTGGGACACCACCCGTTTACCCCGGTGCCTACGTGCTGATCATCCCGTGTACCAATCTAGAGTGCATTCATGATTTAAGCACATTGCTGCCTTAGCCGTGCACATCCTCTGTGTTATTCAGCGGTGCGTATCTCACTGCGTATACAGGATCATTTGAATATTATCGGTGTGGGAAGGCCTGTTTCATGGCTAAAATATTTTTTGGTAAATTTGTAAAAGAAAAAAGTCTTTTTGACATTGCAACACTCTCTCATCCTCTCACTGCCCTTTTGGTCGGTCACCGGGGGCAACTAAAAGAGGACGGCTGGGTGTGTCAGTGGTCGTCACGGAAGTCCGCTGTCCGGTGGCTGGACTGTGGGAACTCTTTAAATCCACGCCAGTATCCATGAGGATGGGGAAAAGTTGCACCGGAGTTCAAGCGTGGAGTCCTTTTGCGTGATCTCCTTGGGGACTCCACCATCTCCACTCGCTGACATTCAGCGTTGTGCGCGACAGCCAAGGGCGCTGTGTTTTCTGTAGTCCCGGAGGAAAACGGCAGGAATAAAACGCGTTTCTTATTCTATATTTGAAAGCCGCTTGCTGCATCTGAGTGATCAGACATAATGAATTTTATTCTCATCTGCCTGCTATGTGGATTGTATGATGTTCTAGCCAGAGGTGAGTAACAGGTTTTCTATTGTTGATTCAGTACCACTGCAGGGTGCGGAGAGCACCTGTCATAACGAGTTGGGCTTATGTTCAAGTATTTAATGACTTATCTGATTTCTTAATGAATTATATTCTGCTCCTCCATTTTATTTCATATTACAGCTGCAAAGCTAAGCTATTACATGGTGTAACCTATAGAAAACTCAATTTTACGCACGAACTTTAGGCTAGTACAGATATTTTCCTTAAACTTCTCGTTTATCTGACATCTCGCCTCACTTTTAAAAATGAGTAATTTCCATCACCAAGACAAAGTATTCAGTCGCCGTGGAAGAAAAAAGACGCACAGCTATAGTTTTTCATCGTGGCCGCATGGGATGTGTGCGCTCATTTATAGGCCAATTAAGTCGTCGGTGCGGTCTTGTGTCTGAGGCTGTTGAGGTTGTAAACCTCTAACAGCACAGACTGCAGGGAGGGAGATAAGCGCTATCCTGCGGGACACTTGTTTGGATAATGCGGGCCTCTGTGGCCCTGCTCCTTGCGCCTTTGGCCTCGATTGAATGACCATATGCAGGGCGTTGCTTCCTGAGACAGATTATTTTGTCAAATGGAAGTTGTGATATAAATGAACGGGGGGTCAGGACCAGCTGAAGGAAAATACCCACAGAGCAGGAGCCAGGGTTAAACTGTGCTTATCGCTGTAATAGGCGGCAGCTTGCTTTTATGCGCTGCACTGCGGTTTTAGTGACCATTTGTTGCTTAAAAACGTCTTTAAAACTGCAAAATTTAAGAAAACATATGGTATTATCTCCTACTGTCCAGTTCAGAAATTCATATGAAATCATTTTTGGCATTCAGTAGCCTACTTGTAAATACAAAATCAAAAGATGTTACTGTGTCAGTGATCAATGATTACTTCAGTCAGTGCTACCAGAAGCTATTTTATTTTAACATGTACTGTAATACATGTGCTGAAATAATCAGCACTTTTCTCTGATAGTCGATACAATTGCTTCCTACTTGTTTCAGTGCTACTGAAGACTACTGACGTTACCAATCATTTGAAAAATATAAGAAATAAGTATTACATTTTTAATATATATTGTTGTATTTTTATTCTGAATGATTGTTGTGGTTGTAATGCACAGTACATAAATTTACATATACAAACATTAAGTTATCTTCATATATATCCCACAGTTACTGTCAAATATTTTATAACCAATCTTCTTAAAATCACATTTATAAGAGACACCTTCTGATTTCTTCCTTCAGATTCTTCACATTTTTTAGATATTGACACCTTAATATCGTAATTACTAAAAAAAAAATTTGCTTTTTTTTAAAGTCAGTAATATGTCAAATTAAATATGTTAAATTTTTGTTTTATTTTATTTTTTTGTTTCTCAACATCATTCAGGAGGAAAGTAAGGCCATCATGTAAAGACTTTCTCCAGAATTGATTTCAGGATGTTGAGAAGAGAAGCAATGACATGAATTTTAGTCCCCAAAGGTCTTCAGGTGTATGGCTATTCAGTATTAAATATCAGTTTTGTATGAATAGTGGTCTTTTCCCTTTAAGCATTGATGCCTACATTAATTCTAACTTGTCATTAGAGGACAGTTACTGAGTTATAATAAGTGATTGTGTGGAAACCCCCGTCACAAAATAGTAATTCCATGTGATGGTTACTTGTGGGGATCCACCTTCCTTGTGGTGACCAGATGCTGGTCCCCAAAGTAAATTGTTGAATTTTAAATTTGTTTAAAAGTACAAGGGTAGGGTTATGATTGAGGTTCAGGTAAGTCTTTAGGAAGTGAATATAAGTCAACGTAAAGACCTGCTAAATGACAAACACATGAATGTGTGTGTATGTTTCCCTATTCACATACTTTAAAATCCAAGGAAATTGTATGAGGAAGTGCCAGAAGAGTGAATAATGCTAGCGCTGCTCAGTGGAGTGTCCACAGGGAACAATGATGCCGGCAGTGAGTGGCAGTGATTGACTTTAGTGATAGACTCACCAACTGTTTCATGAATGATTTAACTACTCTAAGAGCAGTAGGAGAGTTGTTTTGATCAAGCTGTGTGGTGTCCAGGCTACAAGTGCGTGAAGGACGGACATCCCTGAATGATGTTTCCACTGTTGTTGGGAGGAAGGAAGGGTGGACAGACAGCCGTCTCTATCTCTTATTAATAAACCTCAGCGATAGAGTGGAGAAATGTTTTTATTTGATAAACAACAGAGACATTGCTTACGCATTTCCATGTGAGCTGTCAAGTGGCCTGAGCAGGGAGACATGAGGAGGGTCACAGTGCTGTGACCTGACTGGAGGACATACTGTGGAGCTGGAAATCACCAAGAACCATTCTGCAATCAGTTCAGAGTCCAGTTTGGTCTATTTAATGCATATAAACAGTGACTGGATGTTGAGATATTCTCATTTTCTCTCCTGTCTCTGTAGATAAAGAACAAAAGGGGAAGTACAGCGTCCCTATCTTGAATGTGAAAGCCCGGCAGCTGGTCCTGGACACCAACCAGACACTACTGCTCAGTTGCAGGTGAGTTTCACGTAGATACACTGATCCAAAAAAATCCCAGTCTGAGCAACAAGGCAGAGTTGAGGTAGGATGAATAAGGGGCAACCATTATGACTGATGCCTATGAATAAAAGCAAACACGTCTTGCAGAAAGTACATTTTTACATTGTGCTTACTCTCATGAACAACACCCTTACCAAGATGTGTCAGTTTATACATTTAAAGATTTTGTCAACCATTATTGTATTGTGAGCCTTTGTTTAACTTGCTCTTTTAGCCAAATATCTGTCGCTTCCTAATACTCAGAGGTTTCATCAGAGCAGTACAGGTTTCAACAAAACCAGACAAAAAGTATCTGAGGTTTGTGTTTTGTTTTTAACAAATTTTATCCTCATGAAACATAAAACAAAGAATTTGTTTTTAAATACACCTCTACAGCACCCCCATCAGGCTGATCACTGAAACACATTTTGATGAGTGGTACAGTCCCAAAAGAAAGAGGTCAAGTTCCTGTGATGTAAACTGTGAATGCACAAAAAGTGTTTTCTAAGCAATCTTTCAGCCCACTGTATCTGTTGACCAGGGGCCGGTGGGAGCTTACATGGAAGTTCCCATCAGGTTTGGACAGAAATCAAGTGCAAGTGAATGAAACGCGCTGTGGAAGGATAAACCAACGGCACTGCAGCCATCTGAGGGTCAGCCACACCCAGGCTCAGCACACCGGCCTGTTCTGCTGCCGTTACCAGCGCCAGCCTCAAAAACAGACCTCCGTTTATGTGTATGTCACAGGTAAGACCATACTGAAGTGTTTTCTTTTCCTGTAGCTAGTCTTTTTTACTCTGGGTCATTGAGAAGTTGCTCACTGCTTCACCCCATCCAGCTCATTGTTTGTATTCCCAGGTTAAACTGGATGAGGTGGATGCTAAATACAGACCAATGCCGATTATATCTAAACACTGTCTCAACAACACATCCATTTAGATGACTCTGGCACAGTTTTACGCCCCTCCTACCCCCACCAGCTATCTTTTCTCACCCCAGGCCTGCCTCTCTGTCGTCTATATATAAATCCTTTTTTACTTTCGCTTACGTGCAACCTCGCGACCAGGAATAGCCCAGCTGCTGGAAGGCTCAGGCCCGGGCAGAGTTTCCCAGGGCATCAGCCTTATCTGCTCTGCTCAGCCCTGCTCATAGCATCCTGTACTTGGGGGAGGAGGGGAAGGGCTTGAATGGGGTGTGCTTGGGGAGGGAATGTTACTGTATGAAGGTGGCGGTAAGGAGGTATGTGTCCAAGTCTGTGTGTGTGTGTGTGTGTGTGTGTGAGAAGCTGAGAGGGATAAGATGAAGGCCAGTGTTTCAGGGGCTGAGGAGGCACAATGTCTGCCCAGCCTTCTCCTCCCTGTCCTGGAGAGTGCTGCTGTTTGGGCTGGGTTGTAGCAGGCATCAAGCTAAGCTAGAGGCCCAGGTCACAGGGCATGCTACTGTTTGTCAAACAGGACCCTCGAGGGCCATCAATCGCTCAGGTCATCATGTCCATTAAGCATAAGACTTGGCCTGCAGCTCTGCTCAAACGTTGCCTTCCTCCCTGAGTCCTCCATTAGGAATCAAAGCAAGAGAAGGAAACCCTCAGTCTACTAGCCCTTGGGGTACTTTTGTTCAAATGTTCAGAGATTTGCTTTCCTTGAATAACACCCTACTCTAACAAACAATATAGTGAGCAACACCCACATCTTTGAATGGCACAGAACTGTTACAGTCAAGCTGGGAAGAGAAAGCACAGACAGGTCGTTTGATTGCTTCTAAACAATCTGTGTTTATTGTTGATTCTAGGCAGTTATTTGCTGAATGGGTATTCAATGAATGGGTGTGGGGAGCAGTGTATGTTTTGGGGGGTGTATTTGTTTTTGTTTGTTGTTGAGATTGATGCTTGGAAGTATGTGTTTGTTTATTTGTGCATATAGGCAGGCGACTGTTTTCTTCCCTTTCTATGTGTATAAGAAATTAAAAGGTCAGTTCACAGAAAATTATTTTAAACATTTTGTCACTCAGTCAAGGGGCTAGTTTTCACTGGTGGAGAGAGGATACTTTTTTAAATCCCTTTTTTTTATTCTGAGTTGATAAAACGTTGACACACTCGTCTGAGTCGCATTCTATTATATTTTGTTCTTTCTTCTGAGGCCTTCTCATTGTATCAAATACAAGAAGTTTGGTTTTTCGGGGGGAGGGGTTGTTTCATTTTGCCCAACATTCCAACCCACATTTCTGAAACTAAACTTACACCCGGGCACACAGTGCTAGCTGGCATCTCTTTCCTGAAACTCTTTCAGTGCAACTACTCTCCATTGAAGAACTACAGTATTTCCTGTATTTCATCTCTGTGGATGTGCTAGATATTATTACTCTGTGTACAAGTGGTCATTTTTATGGCAAATTTGTTTTTAATAAGTTAAGTGATGATATAAAAAGAGGTGTATTTCAGTTGATTTGACAGCTTTGACTGGTGGTCTTATGTTGTCACTCCACTTCTGTTCACTACTGCGCAGAACCTGGTTGCAAAAAGGCAAGATGGTAGCTGCTGTATTCATGATATTTTGGCTTTGTCTTTGTTTTTGCATAGTGGAGGAAAGTGGTGATGCCATGTCCATTGCGTATATGTCAATGTATAAAAATATCTCAGACAAGTAAAACCAAAACATGCACAACTATTTTCAGTGAGAAAATAAGTTTTTCTGTAATTAAAGTGAACTGAGCCTTTAAACGATTCACATGGTTGTATAGTCTCAGTTTATGTAATGTTAGTTTAAAAAAAAAGTCTGATGTATTTATTTTACATGCTTATTATCTGTACCATATGTGTCCCTGACTGCAGTGTTTGGGTTTCAGACAGCCAACAGCCATTTGTGAACCATCCAGGTGCGAGGCCAGAAGTGTTGTTCCTGAAGGAGAAGCAGCCACTGGTCATTCCCTGCCGGGTCACCAACCCCAATGTCACCACTACACTGGTCAAGGTCAATGCAAACAATATGAATGAAATGACAAGTGACAAACTGAATGCCTTTTAAATGATGTTTGAGTACAGAGATCTGCTCTGCATCATTATCTTTGCATGTACAGTAGTAAATCCATCTACACACTCACATCATACTTCACCCTCCTCACAATCACATTCTCCCATCATCACTTGTCCCAGTTTTTACCATCAGTGCTCACATATACGCACAATGCACTGTTCCTTTTTTCTTCCTCTCCAGATCAGTTGTCACATTGTTCTTATCTTGGCAGCCATTATGCTGAGACGTGTGTGTCCATTTGTCTGCATCTGTCGGCGGATATGTGTGAAAGTGTGTGCGGATATGTTTGTGAGTGTTGGTGCTTGAGTGCTAAGTGAGGGGCAGAGCACACACAGTTACTACGTACAAAGGGGGGCATTGAGACTGATTGCTGACTCCGTGTGTGTCTGTGTTTGTATAAGTGTGTGTATTTTAGTATATTAGTGTTTTCCCCTCCAAGATAAAAGACACTGTGTCTGTCTGTTCAGGTACTCAAGAACACCTTCCAATCAAAAATGCTCTTTACTCCACAACTGAGTGGCGCCCATGGCATCCTGTTGGCACTGTTTTTACCTCTGGAGACAGGACATACGGTCTGAGGTGCCCTGTTGGCCCTCAGCCAGCACAATCTCCCATACACTGGGTCTGCAGTACCCTGTTGGCATTCAGCCAGCACACCCTCCCAGATCCCATCCTCCATCTCTTGTAGTAAGAGTGCTGACTGCCAGTTCCCCCAACTGATGCTTTAAACATCTGGTTTGCCTGGTAGAGGAAGCAGAGGTAGCTACTCTTGGCCCCGACAAAGTACATCAAAGTACAGTACATTCTCTCTAATCAGGAAAGTAGATCGTTAATGTGACGGCTTGTGCGTCATTGTAGGAAGCTCATTGAGGTGCATCTAAAATAGAGTAGTTATAAAACATACAGATGATGGGAATGGCATTAACTTTGCAGTTTTTAAATAAAAACCAAATCAAATAAAACTCAGTGATTTGCAGATAAGACAATAAGGCATAAAAAGGTTTAAAAAATGAATACTAAATGTTTTTAAAAATCTATCAATATTTGATTAAAATAAAGAAACTCTAGATCAACTTTATAGACCACAATGAGAAGTAAGATATATAAGAAGGAAAAAATACAGAACAATAATTAAAAAAAAGAATAATATGGAATAAGATTCTAATGAAAAGCCAAACTGAAGAGGTAGGTTTTAGGATTATACTCAAACACTTTTAGCTGCTCTCTGATCCTCAGAAAAATTGCTCTAACAATTCATAGCATAAAAACTAAAAGCTGCCTTATCAAGGGTTTGCTGTTTTCCTGCAGCTTGGAACAACTATAAAAGACTCATGTCAGGAGATCTGGGAGGATATTTTGGTTCATACATTGGAAGCATGTCAGACTGGTAGGCTGGAGTGGGATCATGAAGTAAAGGACTTTCAATACAGAAACTGACAGGTGTAATGTGCTCGGGTCGGGGTCATCACAATCAAATACGTGATTTGGCACAGATTTTATGCCAATGCCTTTCCTGACACAACTCTCCCATTTTATCTGGACACAAATAGTGCAAAGGCTCATGCAACCCCAGTGACTGGATGTAGCCACATTACCTGGTATGCCCAGGTGGTCCCCATCCACCCTGTTTAGTTACCAAGATTAGACAAAATCAGGCACAACCATGGCTTTTTTGAATTCACGACAATGTTAAATAAAACGTTATTGGATCATTGAAGTTATTTAAAAAGGGAACTGTGAATGTATGTACCAAATGTAATAGATAACCAGAGGCCAGACATCAATAGAGCCACAATGTTAGCATGTCCAAAAAACAAGAGGAAAGCTTCAACAAAATAAAATGTCCAAGAAATTTTAATTCTCACAATTTGGGATCAAGGAATTGCAAAAGAATCGGACAAGCCAGGCATATCATCATGCATATCATTATCCACTAGTTCTCCAAACTCTAAATCTGAACCTACAACAGTCACAGTTGGACATCAATACACACACATGTATTTGTCTTTGTTCCATCTCCTCACAAATGCTTGGAACCACTTAGGTAATTATTCTAAAAATAGCTGTCCTCCTCTTCCTTCATCTCCTGCTTCCTTTTCTAACCTTGCGTTGGTCAGTCTAAACCAGGAATCTACTCACTCTCACAGTCTCTGGAGTGTTTTTTTCCTGCAAGGACTT